TTTCCTGGGCACATTTCTTAACTCAACATTCTCGCCCGTTCCGGAGCACAGGTCAGTTCACACTTGAATAGTGTTTCTGTGACGAGCAGTGTTGCGTTGTATCATCCCTGGAAGTTGTTTTCTAGCTCACCTAGGGTATGCATTCTTATGGTGTCACTATGCACACAAATGGATTTGGATCATGGAGCATGGATTTTCCATCGCCATACTTGGAGACTTTATATCACCCGCTGTTCTGATCATCGTATCAGGGCCCTTGCAGCAAAAAGACATACATGTACAGTACTGTACAAGCAGAAATATTCGTCCGGAATTTAATTTCGTCTTTTTCGTCCAACGAGCTGTTGGACTAAATTAAATGCCGGACTAATATTGATTTGTCCAGCTTTTCAATACACTCTTATGATCCATGGACGAAATTTACAACCGGACGAACTCCCTTTCTTTGGAGTTGGACGAAATTATTGACCGACGAAATTTTCTGCTTATACAGTAGGTATCGGTTATAGCATGTGGGTGTTTGAAAACGACTTTCTATTCTTATTTCCGATATTTCTTACACACGATAAATCAAGTGTGACATATCATGTGCATGTGCGCAGAGGCAGGAAGATCATCGTACATGCAAGGTAGTGCTATTGTGCATGCGGCTGGTCACAGTCAGATAGGTTTACCATGTGGCTATGCAACATGAGTTACATGACCACAATAGTTGAACCTGCAGCACTACGACCCAACGCGAGTCAGATCAGAACTGCTTTGGACGGATGTTATTACTACAGGCGATATACTTTGTACTGATCTGGCATGTTTCGCTACACAGATTCCATTCTTAGGACCGATATACTATGTTGCCACACCTGCCGACATGTCAGTAGCCTGCCGATTTTTGAGGCATGTCACGACCTGCCGACAATTGACCTTCTCCTGCCGACAAGAGCCATGAAAGTGTCCAAGTTTGACCTTATGCGTGGTTTAGAAGTCATGATCCAGATTTTTGGCTCTTACTGCTCATTACGCGTGTTTCCATAGCTCTCTCCTAAGGCGCTAAGCGAAATCATCATCTGTCTGGGGAAAAATCGGCAAACTCAGCCTGAGTCTCACGCAAAAAAGTTTATTTTTTTCTTATCAGTGCCGTGCGCGTGTGTGTGTATTGAGGTCGCTATATAGGGGAGGGGGTCCGGGGCGAAGCCCCCGGATGATGCATTTTGTTTTTTTATCCTACTGATATTTGGCTATAATGATGTGGCAACACTGGATATATTCTACTGTCCGATAAAATTGCTTGTAAGAATAAATGTGCACATGAAATCCATGTTATGATTATGAAAACATGAGAGTTCATTCTTGTAGGCAGTATATTCTTTTACACGACCACGCTATAACCGCTACGCACTGCACTTCGAAGTACATGAATTCACCTTTCCATCACCACCACCGCTGCCACCACACCGGTTTAGCATTGTTTTTGCTTGATATTGGCCTTTTCTCCTTTGATAGAAATGTTTGCTTTTGTCTTTGCTTTCCCACTTTCAGTCCTGAGGAGCTTCAGAAGCTTCAGAAGGAGCGTGAAGATGTTGAGAAGATTGCGGAGGAGTTCAAGCAGGTCAGGGATATGTGTAGATAGATATTGGCTACTGGCTCCACTGGTCATGTGCATGGTCACTTTGTTTGCACCAAGTATTCACATAGTAATTCCAGACAGTGTTGGTGTTTGCAGTTACTTCCACGTGAGCTGGTTGAGTTTTCAAGTCCTATGACTTGGCTCCTTGTACCGTCAATGCATTTGAATATATTTAATTTATGAACAGTGGGTTGCAATGAAGCTGAAACCATATGGTCGGCAAAGCTGTCCCTGCCTTTTCCCCACTCATGCCATAATATGTCTCATCTCTGCCTTGCTGCAGGGTGCCCTCGAAGGCGGTGTGCTTATTTGTTAAAATGTAAATAAACGTGCCGTGTTTGTTTTCACTTCATCTTGTGTGCTGTTGCGCAGAGTGCTGAGTACGCGGTTCCTGTTGACAGGCAGTACTGGAGCATGCCCCTGCGCAAAGCCGGTGAGTCACACGGTTCACAGGCCTCTGGCGTGCACATGCCTTGCTAGTAGTTCCGGTCCCAGTGTCTCCATGCATCCAGTGTGGGTGTGATGGAGTAGACCAGGACTAACGGGAATGTGAATGACTTCTCTATGGTTGTTTTGGAAACCCTGGAAGTTTTGCTGGCTTCCCTGAGCTGTGCATCCCATCTTCTATGCTCAAGAGCAGGTTGCCCAAGAGTAGGCAGGCTATAAAGTGTGTACTGTACATGCACATGTATGTGTGTCTGGTGTTGTTCTTGCGCAGGTGTGATGCCGTTTGATGGATTATTTGATGTCATCATTTATATGAGTAAGTAGTGGGGTCAGTGCTCTTATGTCTGAAATGTTACTGCTATGTAAGATTGCAGTGTTAGGTCACCATGTAAGCTCGAAAATGGCTACATTTGGCGTTTTACTTTGTTGGATGGTGTTGGGGCTGTGACTATCTCTGCTGTTGGACTGTCTTTGTTCATGCAGTGGACAATTTGTTCCACCCGCCGAGATGGCTGCTTATTGCGCTCTTCTGTGGCAAGATAGTAGGGCACAAGACTCTCGACGCCTATCTTGACACGTATGTATTGGCTGTAGCTGTGTTGTCTGCATTTCTCTCCTCCGTATACTCTGTAGTAGCTTGCCGGAAAGGTTTGCGTCTCAACATCATTTTCTTGCTAGCGTGCAATTCTTTTCATCTTGTTTGAAGGAAGGGTTAGCAAATGGCGAGGTTTTGAGAAGTGTTTTTCTAAATGGATATCTTTCCGAGTACCGCTATACATCATAGTATGAGGGGTGTTTTTGCTTGGAATGCATAGTATGTTGAGAATTCATGTAGGCACTAACTAAGAGAACCAGAACTGCCGCTGCTGGTGTGGTGGCTACGGCTATGGCCGTACCAGTTTCTTAAAAATTCCCAGTGCTCATAGAATGACCAGTGTGCACTAACTGTGTGGAGGTATCACTAGTCTACCTTCATACAGTGCTCACGTCCCGGGGAGTCTATACCTCGTGAACTGCTGCTCTTGTCTCGTGAGGACTACCATGCTAGCGGGATATCTGTTGCCAGCAGGTTGTGGTGCTAAAACAAGCAGCCATACTGCATAGAGCTAGAGATGCATCCTCTTATGATGCTGACATTGGACATCACATGGGGTAGTAGTGATTGGCCCTGTGGCTGACCTGGGGACTCGACCTGGGGACCGTGCCACCCCTCCGGAGCTCACTCGGAGCCTGAGAACCGATTCCTATTGAACGTGGTGTAACGCGTGTCCACTGGAAATCCCCATGTGTTCCGATGCCATGCAGGTTTCTTCTCGGCAAGGTTGAGATTCTGAAGGCAGATGCCACAGTCATCGACTTGATCGACCTGTTCATTGGTAAGTTCAATGTTTTGTGCTCAATGTTCAAATTTTGATGTTCCATGCTCATTGTTCAATGTGAGCATTGTTCAATGTTCAATGCCCAATGCGCAATGCCGCACATCAAAACTACATCAATGGAATGGTCTCACATCTATCACAATAATACTATACGGGACAGCCATGTTGGTTCCAACTCCAGTCAACCGTTGCATGTACGGGTCACATGATGTTGGCCATGTTTGTTCCACTGTCCACATGCCATACATTCTATACTAATTTGGTTGCATGACAACACAGATGTGAAACCACTGTATAAGAGTGTGCACTTCCTCGGCTAGTCTGACCCATGGCGGAAGTTTGTGTTAACGTCAAGTTTGTCAATTTTCCTGGTGATGTTGATTTATCACATACAACTTAAATCATACAGACCTGCATGGTGCGACTGCATACAGGGCACTTCAGCACTTCAGCAGGGTTTAGTCACCTTGGATACTGTATGGTTTGCTTTTGGAGTAGATTTTCACTTCTGGCTTTAGACAATACGGCTTTTGACACTCGAGATTGCGAAGCTTGGAATGTGAAAAGTTCCCAAGAAACCTTGAACCTCACCTTGCACTCAATGTACAGTACTACTCTTGATGACATTGATTGGGGAACACTAGGGGGTTTCCCCACAGCAGCACCAGGCACTTGATTGATGAGAAGGAAGTAATGATGAATATGCTTTTAGCTACAGTCAGTATCGCCTATAGCGTTGGTGTTTGATTTTGAGCATGTTATCACTATAAGCGATATATCACTATGACCGATACTGCATGCAATGTATGCGAGTGGGGTGTTTCTGATTGATTTTTATTTCACGGATCCTCCAGAGGCAAATAGATGCCTATCGAAGGGAGTCTCCTAAGTAAGTATGGAAAATGAGAAAGTATGTTCGTATGGGAGAAGAGGTAGAAGATACATTAGTACAAAAGAAGTAAATTCAGTACTTCGGGTAGTACATTGCATGCTAATCATAGTGAGAATTAGAAAAGCAGCATTGAGGACTACTATAACTGACATATACACAAACTATTGAAACTATCATAGATGTGGTTAGCCTGGACACAAAAGGGTGTCAAACGACTCAGGGCGTCGTGCACATACGCACTGCATAGCTGGCTATCAGCATTTCCTCACGATTGAGGCATATTTGGCAACATTTACAAGCAGAACTCACCAAACAACACTGGACAAGTTAGTTCTTCACGAAGAAGTAACACCCTGTTCTCCTCTGACACCACTTGATTTTACATCAATCACTATAATCGATGCAAAAATAATGCAATAGAGGTCTTTTGAAATAAGAATGTTATCACTATAGGCGATATATTACTATAGACGATTATTACTATACGCGATAACTGTGTATACTTAGTTATGGTAAATGAAAATGAATTTGAGAAATTGATCACTATATCCGGTATATTACTATAGCCGCCAACCTTATAGGCGATACAGACTGTACTTTGAAGTACATGTAGCTTGTAGCATGCATCATGTAGCATGTAGCATTGTCACCACGCATACTGTCATGCAGTGAATTAAAGGTGTTGAAGCGGTCTCTGGTGCTTGCTCTGCTGTTTTTCCTATTGTTTGTGTAGAAACCGTTTTTGAGGACGACAGTCCTGAAAGGTAAGTGAACTGTGAATCCAGGCATTGACTGCGATGGGCAGATTCTGCTAGAGATGATCGCTCTCAACATTGTGCACTGCAGGTTAAGCTGTTCTCCTACCCTGCCGCGTGCTGCCCACGCGTATGAACGGTATCCCTTTTGCTGCTTGGTGACGGGCAGCGTACCCCAGGGGCATAGCTGGTCTCCCTTTCAGGGGGGTGCACAGCTGCATATGATGTGTAGGATGGCAGGTGCATATCATTCATGGTCATTATGTGCATGCTGAACCTATGTCGAAATTTGGGGGGGGGGGGGCACTTGCCCCCCCCCCCCCCAAGTGCCCCCCCCCCACGTGCCCCATGCGGGCTACACACCTGGTATCCCCTTGATTCATCTACTGTGCGATTGACCTGTGACTGTTTGAGCGACTATTATATTCGCATGGGAGGTACTGATGCATTTTGTTGTACTTGAGGGGCCTCAAAGTTTGTGAATTTTCCCTTTTTCTGCAAGTGCTTTCAAGTGGCCGTAAGTACAACAAAATGCATGAGTTCAGTATCCCCCCCCTTATGAATATTATTGCGGGGGTCAACCTAGGAGCAACCTAGGACAAGAAAACAGCACTTCTTCTGTAAATGTTCATGGCCTAAGTGTTCCTAGCTACCTTATCTGTCACTGTCTGCTTTTTCTTGTACTCGTTTCTCCTGCTGAATAATTTTACAGGAACGATGAACAGAAGGCTGAGAGGAGAGAAAAAGCCATTCATGATCTTGTTGACTTCTTTCCAGGTATGTCTTATTTGTTGGATGAAAGTTGATGTCTTGCACATATTTTGCGTCTTTCCCTCAAACCAATGAATACCTTGCACATAACTTCAGATGATTCCAGAGCTAAAGTCTCTAAGTGTACTAAATATACTCGTATGTATGTATGTATGTATGTGTGTATGTATGTGTGTGTGCGCGCATGCGCGCGTGTGCGCGCATGTATGTGCATGCGTCCATGGTATGTGTGGTATGTGTGGTATGCATTGGCAGGTGTGATCGGTGCTGTCCTGGGCAAGGATAAGTTCCATGACGGCTTTAAGGAGCTTATTGACATCCTGCAGAGCAAACGAATGAACAAACTGGTCAGTTACTGTCATTTGAAATGGCACACTGTATTTTTCCTGTGCTCTCTCCCTCTCTCTCCCTCTCTCTCTCTCTCTCTCTCTCTCTCTCTCTCTCTCTCTCTCTCTCTCTCTCTCTCTCTCTCTCTCTCTCTCTCCTCCCTTAACGCTACAAGCCTAGAGGAAGCGAGTGCTTGGAGACACGCACACACTGCATTTCCTACGGATGCGGATAGATCATTCTGACTGACTCTCACCCCAGCTGTGGAATGAAATTTCTAATACATTGCGTATGCACCAGGAATACAATGTCCATGCAATTGGCAATGGAAAATAGAATTGCCCATACATCAAGAACCATAACTGCTCATTGTTGTCGCATTGTATAAGATGGCAAAAGTTTAGGATGTTTTGAGACTTTTGACCATGGTTTGTGATTTGTTTCAGTAGTACATGGCAACACGTCTCAGGTGACAACGCTAGACTTTAGTTGGAGAACCATGCTTGTGGAACCTGCACCAGTGTGCCTACATGTATATTGTACAATAGGAAGTGAATAATATTATTATTGTGAAGTCTGTTGACACGTCACTCACTAGTATGGTATGTAAATGTAATTGATATTATAATCGTACGTAACAGTTGTGTGCATGCATGTGTGTTGGTCTGTGTGTTGGTCTGTGTGTTGGTCTGTGTGTTGGTCTGTGTGTTGGTTTGTGTGTTGGTTTGTGTGTTCCTTTCACTATGCGCATAGCTGGTATATCCACTACTTGACATTGTCGTTGAAGAGCTATTCCCGGAAATAACCGTAAGTACATGTAGCTGAGATCAGCTTCTGCTTGCTTCCACTACCGCTGGACAACTCTCTGTCCTGTGTAATGCCAGTGCATCATTTTAAAAAGAAAGGAGTTGTGTGACAGTCAGTATCACATGGCTACATATCAGTGTCAGCTGTTACCTCTCCTCCCCTTTAGCTAGCAGGGAATAGGCACCTGTGCGTATTGTCTACAGTGATTACCCCCGTAGCTGAGTGAGTTGTAGTCTTCGCAAGTAGACGCCGGCTGTAATTAGCATCTGCCCGGGGGATATCAGGCATCAACAAATGGGAACTGATCACTCCTAAGTCCACATCCGTGATAGTCTCTGTGATGAGCGTAACTCACATATGCCGAGCCATCCATGCATCTTCAGATTAGTCAATGTACTGAATGTAGCCAACCGCCGTGCCCTTTCACCGACATTTTCCGTTATCTACACCTGTCTATTTTTGTATTGTGTGATGCAGCTTAGTCCAACTAGCTCATAGCACAGTACAGGACAGTCGGTCAGCAGTATACATCTGTGTCCAACACATAGCCTACCTTTTCCCGAATATCCAGTTCACGTGTACCATGCCACCAGTGCGTCAAGTACTCAAGTAATTATTTCCCTACAAACTGTACGCTACCGCTCACTATCACAACGATTTACTTGCCTTTGTTACATTGCCACATTCAATGCCAGTGATTGGCTACTACCACCGTCGTCCTCTGCTCCTCCTCATGTTGCTGCTGCTTCTCTTGTTCTTAGTGTTGTTGTTGTCCTTGTCTTGATCGTATGATATTTCCAACACTACTCTAGATCTCTGTTCGTCACTACAGCACAGTGTGATGCGTTGCAAAGCTTACCTTTAGTTTAGGCTAGTTTAGGCACTTCTCATGCACTACTAGTACACACTCCAGTCACCATCCATCATGATGATAGTATTCAGGCTGAGCTGGATCTTTAGAACACTGAATGTAGAACATACCCTTAGTTTGGACTTCAACCCATGTCTATTTCAGTTGGGTTTTTGATTATTCTTATATAGACTACAGTGTGTCCATGGATATGGTTTTCCAGGAACTTTCGAGTTGAGATTTTTATTATATTTCGTGTTTCACACCATCTTTTTTTAAGCAGTATATTGTTACTGACATGTTCTTAAATTGTTGATCGTATATTTTTGCTATTATTTTCTAGCACCACTCCGGTGCAGTGTGTAGTTGCAGGATGTTGTTCATTTTGTACTTGATAATTATGTTACCTTCACCATCGCTGAATAGATCGCCTCTGTGGTCCTGTCCAGCTGCTTTGGCAGGGCATTTGTGGTGAGTGCTTGCATGCCTGGATCAGGTGTGTCAGACCCTATTGTGTGTTTTAATCTTCTGTTCTATTCTGAGCTTTGCCAGGTTTGGTACAAGGAAAGGATCTCCAGCCCTCCTAAAGGCCCCTTTTTGGGACGGTCTGTTGTCTGGCTGTGCGTACATGTTGTTACTGCTGCTTGGCTTCCGCCGTTCAGTTCATTTAGTACAGGACCTCATTGCGTAACACCAGGTGCAGTCGATGCAATCATGTGGCATCCTGGCTGCATGGAAGTGAAGGTGATCACTCAGACCAGTTACAGACTCTGATAGTCAGAAGTGGCACGGACCTCATCCCACAAAAAAACAGGTTCCAACCTTCACCCCTCACTCAGCTCTACTGGTAGTCGTGTACATGTACCATAAATGCATAATCTGTGCTGCATCACGAGGCACGGCTAGTCAGTCATAAATTTAATGATAAACCAAAAAAACGGTTTATGTACTCTTGCTAGTATTAGTAGATCTACAAGTACTTTTTGTAGTGGCTTTTCATCATGCATGGTCGTTGTCAAGAGAACTGCTCTAGTCAGTAACGTCGTTATGTACATTGTACTGCACTCTGCAGGGCATTGATAGGGTCGGCTCTGTTGAGAGTGTACTTCGTATCGGCCTTTTGGATAATGCAAACCCTGACACTCTGACGCTACCCGACCTTTTGCTCTTTTTTTCTTCTTTTTGTCATCTTGATCTTCCTCCACGGTGGCCTGAATGGAGCCAGATGCAGAACATCAACAGTATACTGTCTGTAGTGTTCCTTCGTCTTTTTCTCTAATGCACTGTGGGGTCGACATTTTGCACGCCCACAATGCGGGCACAAGCCAATCATGGTAATGCCAATACCCAGGTGAGACTAAAGAGACAGGGTATTCAGTATCTCCAGTCCACGATCATACCGACTTGCGCCATTGATTTGGGTGAGCTGTGCCGACACTGCGCCTAGGAAGTAACTAGTGGTCCACCCTCCTGCCCTGGACCCAATACTAATCCGTGATCGTGCGGCCTGTCCTTGGCTCCAGCCTGGACGTAATCGTTGATCATGACGGTTCGTTTCGCTGCAAAGCTCATGCACCCAGTAATGGTACAAGTACCTGGACAGTGTGGTCATCGGTTCCAGATTTTCATGATCAGACAAGCGTAGATCTATGGGTTTCGCCAGGCAGCAGCCGAGATTGTGTGCTCCCAGACCCAGCTAGCCCGTCGATTCTAAAAGAATCGGGAAGATCTAAAACTACAAAGCTACTTGTACATGTACATCTACCTGAGCCCCGCGCCGCATTTCAAAAGGCATACAACTAAAAGAAATTTAAAAGTAGCGACTAGCTGCTACGAGTAGCGTGCTATCGCTAGAAGTCGGAAAACGAAAAGAAAGAAGCGAAGTATTGCTGGATCATGGGGGCGGAGCGTACTCTTGCCAGCAAAAGGTCGGATTGCGTCAAAGTGTCAACTGTGCAGTACAGAACGGTTTTTAGCGAAACTTGTTTTGTTTAGGAACGAAGTACACTCTCAACTGAGCCGACCCGATCAGGATGGATAGCCAAGGAGAATTTTAGGCATGTCAGAATGAGATGATTGACCTGGTCAGCTAGCTGAGTCAGAGTGATGCGGCTCTGAAGCTGCTTGCGCCCGTGTGATACTGCCCATGGCATAGGATTAATTAAGTAGAGTGTAGTGAGTGGCAGCTAGTGGGTCGGCTCAGTTGAGAGTGTACTTCGTATCACTAAACAAATTTGGATTTTGTCTTCACACTATAGCCACTCTGACGCAACCCGACCTTTTGCTACTTTTTTTCTTCTTCTTCTTTCATTGTAAATGATGTTGTTGTTGTTGACATTTTTATTTTTACTCGGGTAGGGTTGCGTGTACAGCTCTTTTGCTGTTTTGGCTTTGTGCATGGCCTGGCGCGATATGGCATGGACGCTAGCACCATAATATTAATAATAATATTAGTACACACAGCTCGCATCTTCCCTGAACCTGTTAGACAGGAGCAGAGTCGACGCATCTGTCAACAGTTTGGGTCATTTCATAATAATAATAATAAAACAGTGTCAAGCCAAGGTACTAGTACCGGTACTAATAGTCTATCTCCTGCAGCTTGGAGAGCGCTCTGCACGGAGAGATCCGCTGCCTTCAGGTAGGCGTGCCGAATCGTATCTATCCACCGCAATGGTGGACGGCCACGGGTTTTTTTTATGTCGTTTGTGTTGGTGGATAGCTCCAGCGCTTGGAACGATGCGGATCCTGGACCCCCTCGTACCACATGGCCAAACCACAGCAGCCTGCGTCGCCGACATGTGGCGCTAACTGGAGATTGTTTTGTTTTTGTGTATATTAGTAAATTTAGTTGTTATTGCCATTGGCATTGGTGATGCGTTGCGGGTAGACAATCATCTGCAGCAGTACGCGTAGCTTCCTCCGTTAGTAACTTACCATTTGTCCAGTTTGTCGTTCAGCAATTAAATTTGGACACAGTCCACAATCCGCAATTGTATAGAATGATCGGCATTATGAGGCAGTTAAACATACACAGTCGGGATTGAAAGGAATGCCGTCTCCCAGAAATCGAACCAAACGCCCTGTTTGCTTTCGAAATTCTCATGCCCACGTCTTCTGCAGAGAGCCCAATAGGGAACCCAGGAGTTTGATTGATCTCCATTCGTTGCTGTTTCTCGTAACATCAAGCTACATATTCAGTTTTCTGTGTATTGAGCTTGAGGTTGTCTTCGTTAATTATTATACTTCGAAGTAGGTTCACACTCAGCAACAAGAGCCTTCGCCTCGTCATCATTTCGGTTATGCAGAGTAGTATCGTCAGCGTACTGCGTTGTCGAAGCAGGCATTGGTGAGCGAATTGTGCATCTTTCCCTGATCTTGCGCATTGTGCCTTCTGCATATGTTATGAACATAATAGGGGACATCGGGTCTCCCTGGACCACTCCGATGTTAGTTGGGAAAGGTGGACTCAGGGAGCCACTTAGCTTGATCCTGGCTGAGCGCTGTCGTGTTGGAAAGTAGCATACCAAGAGAAAAATAACCTGGGAGTCCCAGGTTATTTTTCTCTCTCCAAGTCTTGGTAACACTATAGCTAAAAGCTAGGCTTTAATACTGTGAGTGTGACATACCAGCCTGGGCCAAGCACAGGCCTCACGGTAGGCCTTGCCCTTGCAAGGGCAAGGCCTACCGTGAGACCTGTGCTTGGCCCAGGCTGGTATGTCACACTCACAGTAAGCCTAGCTTGTACTGGCTATAGTGTTACCAAGACCTGCTTGAACTTTTGTTGAAGAGAGAAAAAATAACCTGGGACTCCCAGGTTATTTTTTCTCTTGGTATGCTACTTTCCAAGCTTGGAGGATGATGCGGCAGAAAAATTGGCAGAATTCGGTACTTTTTCTGGTAAGTAATTAGTTTCACGCATGTTTGGTTTGAGGATAAAGAAATGGAGCAGAATTCGAGGAATTGCCCGCCATAAGGTTTGTATGGTTCTGCCAATTTCACTGCTTTTCGAGCAGAATCTGCCACCTTTTCGAGTAGGCATGGGCGGGTAATGCTACTTGCATTATGGCTGGCATTATAGTCCCTTTTTTCCAGGTGGCATAATGCTGGCATTATAACACCAGTTCGCATGCAAAATTGGCATTACAAGCATAATTGCCGGTCGACAACGGTCGGTGTCATGCATGAAGCTGGCTAGGTCCAGTTTCGAAAATCGTGCATCTGAACCCATCCGGCTTCGTCCTGACGTTTAATTTCTTCTACGCTTTGGCCTTGATCCAAGACGGCCTTCTTAAATCGACTTTTCCAACTTTCAAACTGGCATTATGGAGTAGTGTGAGCATTATAAGTGGCATTATATCCTCATAATTATTATGAGCATTGCCTTTAGCATTATCGCAGCAAATAACTAGCATTACCCGCCCATGCCTATTTTCGAGCAGTATCCGCCAAGGCCTACCTCACGGGTACCGGGTACTGGTATACTGCACGTAGATCTACAGCGCTGGCAACTGAAATCCGATCCCCTGAGCGGTGGGTTCACATTCTAGCGATCTCTGTTTCGTAGTTTTACCATCCCGTGTTGGGTCTTTGCGATGTGAGCGCACCGATCAGGGGGTCGGATTTCAGGTGCCAGCACTGTACAGGTGGAATCCTGATACTTCGAACCTCAAAATGCCAGGAAAAAACTTCTACTTATCCGGATATTCTAATTATCCAAACATGAACCCACAACTCAATATGTATGTCAAAATGCTCTCATGGTCACGCAGAGTTGCGCTATGGACCTTAGACACAAATTTTACGGACACTGAACTGACCGGCACAGCCTGCTCTCTCTCTCTCTCTCTCTCTCTCTCTCTCTCTCTCTCTCTCTCTCTCTCTCTCTCTCTCTCTCTCTCTCTCTCTCTCTCTCTCTCTCTCTCTCTCTCTCTCTCTCTCTCTCTCTCTCTCTCTCTCTCTCTCTCTCTCTCTCCTCTCTCTCTCTCTCTCTCTCTCTCTCTCTCTCTCTCTCTCTCTCTCTCTCTCTCTCTCTCTCTCTCTCTCTCTCTCTCTCTCTCTCTCTCTCTCTCTCTCTCTCTCTCTCTCTCTCTCTCTCTCTCTCTCTCTCTCTCTCTCCTCTCTCTCTCTCTCTCTCTCTCTCTCTCTCTCTCTCTCTCTCTCTCTCTCTCTCTCTCTCTCTCTCTCTCTCTCTCTCTCTCTCTCTCTCTCTCTCTCTCTCTCTCTCTCTCTCTCTCTCTCTCTCTCTCTCTCTCTCTCTCTCTCTCTCTGCAGACCACTTGTTTTACGCCAAGGCGCTCAAGCAGAGTAAGGTAGATATATGTCAGGTCTGCCAGGTGGACCTTCCAGGGCAAGCCTGGTCATTGCGTTGTTACAGTGAAGAGTTCTGCTGAGCGGGAAAAGATACTGGACGCAGGAATCCGGATTTCCGGTAAGCAGGTGCTCTGCGAGATTTCCGGGGTGGACTTAACCCATCTGCATGTGTTTGG